ACATATAATTCCTTATTAAATTAATTCTTCTTATAATAATAATTAATAATATAATAAAAATAGTACCCATCTACCTCATCTTCTAAAGATTAGGAGGAAAACTATTCTAAAATTATGTTGTAATTTTTAGGTAAGATAAATGAGCACTAACTCCTAATATAATTACATCAAACTCCTTACTAATTGTTCTTAGATTTCACTTTAATTATCATATAATAATATGAGTTCTACATATTATTAAAGTTGAAAACAACTACAAGAGAGAGAAAGAGACATGAAAATTGGAGTAAAAATAGTATATAATAATAAATAGAAATGAAAGGAATGATTAAGAAAGAATAATATTGAGGGAATAAGAATAAGTGGAGAAAGACTAATAATAAACAAATTATTAATATATTAAGATAGAAAACAAGGGTGAATGTAGAGTAAATAAATAAATATAATGATAAAATGTGAGAGAATAAGTTAAGAGATGGAATTTCAAGAAAAATTAATAAAAGGTGAATCATAGGTAAGCAAAAAAGTATCACAAGGAAAACAAATAATTTTAAAAGAGAGATATATTTTGACAGATAAAAATTTAAAAGAATGACTAAGAAAAAATGGTGGAGATGAGAGGATAATGGAATAATAATAATAAATAAATTACTAATATAAAGAGGGAAAACAAGGGAGATAATTTAGGATCTTTACATTATATTGGTTAAAACTTATAATTTTATGGATATGTGTATAAATTTATAGTATATATTACTAAATTATTTGTGATTTTAAGATATTTATATATTATTGTAATTTTGAGGAAACAAAAAGCATTTAAAGATAGATGAAAAGAGGAAAATTTGGTAAAAAATGTAAGGGGTGATTAAGGAAGAATGAAAAAGACGGGAGGATAAAGAAAGAAAGAATAATAATACATAGTTAATGTTAAAAGGGAAAGTGAGGGTGAAGATACTTTAAAGTGATAAATATAGTAATGTGAGGGGACAAGTTAAGAGATCATGTCACAAAAAAAATTAATGAGAGATGTAGTAATGATATGTTAGTAAAAAACCTAAGTTATAATGCTAAAATGTTGTGCGTTTAAGTTTTGACTCAAAACATGTTTAATATAGATAAAATATGAGAGAGATAGAGAATTGGAATAAAAAAGATGTATAGTGATTGATGGTGGTGCAAGTGACTAATTAAAAATGAATAATATAGTGGGAGGATAAGGTGTGTGGATATGGTCATCCATATATAATTTTGTTAAGTTAGTACAAAAATTGTTTAGTTTTAGTAATATTTTATTAGTTTGTAGTTTTTTTCCCTAAATAATTAGTCATGATATCTAAAAATATCAATTTATAAATAAATTTCAATTTGTTAAATAAAAAAATCAATTATTTTATGAATTATTGTTATTTTTAACAATTAAATAAAATAAAATTGTGTAGACTTAATGGCTTCTGGCCACAACCACACCGGAGGGTAAGGGGAGAGAATAATAATAAATAAATCATTAATATAGAGAAAGTAAGAGCAAATATAGATAGATAAATAAATACAATAATAAAACATATAAAAGTAAGTTAAGAGATAGCTCTGCAAGAAAAAATAATAAAAAATGTAGTAATAAATGAAAAAGTATCAAAAGAATAAAGATAATGAGCTATGACTTTCATGTTATGACTTAAAATCTTCTAACACAAGCATTTGAAGAGAGATGAGAGATATTGGGTAAAAAAAAAAAAAGATAATAGTAATAGTTATAGATGCAAAGATAAAAGAAATCAATGAAAATTTAATGAATTACTCTGTTGTGTTTATTTTAAAAAATTTAATTAATTTATAAATTAAATATATATTTATAATAAATTAAGAAATGATTGGTATATATACTAGTTCAGCTATTATAATTTACTATTGAAAGCCTTCTTACCTCGAATTTAAATTTAAAAATAATATTTTCTTAATAAATATATTATAAATGTGCTAAACTAAAAAAATGTACTAATAATTGTTCAATAAATTAATATGTATTCGAAATTACTTTTATATTTATTAATTAAAAATCAATTTAAATTATAAACCAATATTATTATATTTAATAATTATTAAAAAGTTATGATCCAAACGAATCGCACAGGTTTTAGAGCATGGTACATTAGTAAAATGTTAGAAACCTAAAAAATTAGATAAGTGGATTGATATCAATCAATTGTTATCTATGTTTCTTCTTGTGATATCAGTTGTTATCTATGTTTCTTCTCTTCAACTTTCATAACCATTCTCATATGTATTTCAATATAAAATTCTTTTTTTCTTAACTTTGTTAGTAATTATTTTCTATTTTTAGAAAATGTGATAATTTTATTTTATTTTTTTCACATTATTTTATAATTCAACGATGGAAAATAAATATTTTGAATATTAAAGAAGTTCATTGTGTTGCCCCATGCACTCGCATAAGATTTAAATTAATGAAATAATTTTTTAATGACTTGTTCACTCACAACTTTTTTCATACATTTATAATTAATTGAAGGGATTAAGGGACAATTTTATAATTTGTCATGACTCGATTTTAGCCAAGTATCTTTTTGAAAATTCTAGAAGTTCTATCAAAATTAATTTCCTATAAATTTTAAAGTTTCAATGAAAAAATGAGAAATATAGAGCAAATAAAAATAAAATAAATGTGTGATTGGACTTAATTGTAAGAAGCTAAAATTTGAAATTGTGAATAGCAAAGTTGAATAATGAAGTCCGAGGCCAAAGGGCCTATACTATAAAAAGTATGAAAAAAGAAGGACTGAAAGGAGGAATTAGTAAAAGGATGTCCTTGAGGCCAGGTTTAGCCCCTCACGATCTTTTTGCTCTACCGTTGACTTTTCTCTCAAATCCTTAAGTTCTTCTCGACTTATCCTTAAATTTACTCTAGTTTGAATAAATCACGACATCAAATGAAGAGATTTTTGAAGTTGAAGTCAGTCAGCCAAGGTTTCAAAAGTCGCAAGTTACAAGGAATCCAGAATTAATTCAAAGTTGGAGTCTTAACCTTTAAGAGGCATGAATCTAGATTTAAAAGAAGGAAGATATACAAAGAATTAGTTACACTTCTTTCGGTTAATATGCACAATCATCCTCTTCGGGCAAGTAATCATACACATTGATTTTAAAAAGCAAACATTTTAAAATCCTTATTGAGAAATATATGAAATTAGTAGTGACCTACTTTAACAGTACCACCCACGTCAATTCATATACTTCCACTAAAATACTTAACTAATATAACATTCTAGAATTCTTATTAAAAAATTTGTAACTCTCAATAAATGGTTTGTTTTGGTGGTACCATTCATATCAACTCACAAGTTCCTACCAGAACAATTGCCCACAAATAATGTGACATTTCAGAATCCTTACTGAGAGATTAACCAAACTTCCATTGGAACAAAATGCCTTAAAATCCCAAAAATCTTTAGTGACAAAAGTCATTAATAAATAAACTCTTGATATTTATATAAATCATAAAACATTTGTAATACCCCAAAATTTCTAGAGCATTAAAGTGAGTTAGGGACCTAATTGTGAAGAAATACTATTAATGAACTTAATAGCAAATATTTTCAAAGTTCAAGGACTAAAAAGAAAGAAAATTAGGATAAGGATCAAGGCCGATATTTTTATCCTCAGCCACGTGTTTTGCTCTTCATCTTCATTTTTCCTCTCCTCTTCTCCCCCGACAAGCCCCCCCAAGCCACCGACTCTCTCCCTCTTGAAAACCCGGTGAGATCTTGATGAAATTTCTCTTCTTTTCTTGTTAAATCACAAGATATGGGGCTTAGAATCTTCCCTCTCAACCCAGAAAATCTCGGTTCTGCTCTGTTCTTCTCCCCTGTTCGCCGGCTGCTATGGGGGTGTGAGATTTTGGAGCTTTTTCTGGTAAGATCTAGCCATGAATCCCTCTCTTTAACCTTGATTTAGGCTGGGTTTACCTTAATTGCTTTTATTTCCCTCAATTTTGAGGTAGCCCGTGAGCCCCTCTGCAGAAATGCCGCCGGCTTCTTCTCCCTGCCAGCTCCGGTTTGCTTGCTGGAATTCTGGTAAGTTGCCGGCTCTTCTAAGTCCAATTTATCCATGTAGTTGTTGCCTTGTGTTGATTGGGTTTCTGCTTTTGAATTGCCCTTTTGCTGTCCGAAACTTGCTGGAAGTAGGGGATGAGTTGGCAGCCCTTAAATGTGTTTTGTTGTTTAAATTATGTGGAAATTACTTGAATTGGCTACTGTGATGTTTTGTGTGAAAATCCCGTGTGTGTGAGTTGTGGTTTGCCAAAGCCATGCTCTCCTGGCCGTGAGAAATGGGGAATTTTGGTAGATTAAGCTATGTTTTTAAGCTTAGTTTAAGTGTAAATTAGCTTGAATTGGGTTGTTGTGATTTTGGAGAAAAATCCTGTGAGATTAGCTATGGTTTTGCAAATTTGGAAGTTGAAGTTATTGTTCACGTGTACTGTTTATGGGTACTGTTCATAGGTACTGTTCACACACCGAGGGCTAATAATTAATGGGGATTTGAATGTTTAGTTTGTGATATAACAATAAATTTGGGAATGTTCAGTTATGTGGAGATTGATGGAAATAGCACTTTGAAATTGTGGTAGTGAGGTATTAACTGTGGAATATTGTGATTAGGTTCCTGATCATTCTGTCAATTTAGCTCTGAGATCGAGCTTTTGGTTTTAAGCGAGTGAGGTAAGTAAATTTATGGTAATGCCCGCACTGTTTTTAAAAGATGTTTTGACTTGTTTTTGAAGTGGTGGCGGGGCTAAACCCGTTTTATGCAAAAGTAAGTATGACTGATTTGAACTGAAAATTTTTATGATTTTATGGATTTGGGCATGGCTACTTGAAGTTCATGTGATTGTCCTGATGATTTGAAAGTTAATTGTAAAGACTGATTTTCTGTTAAATTCGGCCTGTTTTGTCTCCGATATGGTCATGTTATTCTGTTGCCCGCTAGTGGGAGTTATAAACGCTAGCACATGTCGACATGTTACTGATAGAACCGGTTCGTTTCTGTTATCCTGCTAGTGGGATTAAACACTAGCAATTTCTGTTGCCCGCCAGTGGGAGGTTTATAATACTGGCCGTGACCTATAGAGGAGACGTCTATTTCGTGCCCGTACTGTATCTGTTTTCATGATTACACTTGTTGGCATGCTATGAGCTTAATTAACGGTTTGACATGAGACGTTTTGTTATTGAACTGAATCTGATTTTACATTGACGGTTTGTCATTGAATGCTTTGCAAGTTAACTGAATCTGATTTTGTCATTGAGTGATTTGTTATGTTAAACTGGTTTATCTTGCATGCTTAAAAGTTTTACCCAAGGGCTATCCATATTTACTTACTGAGTTTATCTCATAGTTTTTCCTTGTCCACCATTTCAGGAAGCGAAACCGAGGACGGAGAAACCACGGGAAGTGACGAGTTAGAAGGCTAGCCATTTCGAGATTGATATAGATTTTAGAAATAAATCATGTTTTTTTGTAAGATAGATTTTACCTTGAGATCTTAAGTTTAAGTCATGTTGGACATAGAATTATTGAAATATTTGATTTAAGTTATTGGATTGTCAGATGTGAATTGGATAAGTTCCAAGTCTTGTGCATTTGTGGGACCCTCTTACGAGTGCCTCGAATTTGGGTTTTGGGGCGTGACAACATTATTAGGACTTTCATCTATATTTGTGGTTTTATAATCCCTCTCAACTATATGTTTTATAATTTTTAACAATGGTACTTCTTTAATAAATGAATTGAGAGAATCTTAAATTTTTGGAAAGACTTTCAATACTAATTGGTTCCTTTACTTTAATAGTTAAAAAAAATATATGAAATCTCATCAGTATCTTAAACAAATCAGGATACACAAATTCAAAAATTCTTAGAACTTTATGAAATATCTTATCTTTGAGATTTTAAAATTTTCATGCACTATCACAATTAGATTGTCACTAATATGCATAATTGTCATAACTCAAATTTTTATCCAAAAAAATAAAATAATAAAAAATATAAAAATGTGAAAATTTCTCTTCGACTAATATATCTTTATTTGGTTTAAGGTGCTACATGCAAAAGAAATTCAAGAAGAAATTGGAAAATTCAAGAACAAATGAAAAAGAAACTCAAGAAAGGGGATTTTTGCGAAGAAAATTGGAAAAGGGAAATGAAGGAAATTAAGATGGGGGACTTAATTGAAGAGATGAAAAGTTAAAGGGTGAAATGCATTAAAGTTTAACCCAAAACCCATTTACACCTTACACCCATCTTAAATGGCCCAATTCCAACCCATCTCAAATGGCCCAAAAAAAGCCCAAAAAAGCCCAAAAAAACCCAATACCCAAAAACCAAAAAAAAAGAAAAAGAAAAATGAAAAGAGGGTCTGGAATCTTCCCCTTGGCTTCCTTCCTCTCTCCCGTCTGCAACCGAGCCCCCCACCTTTGTGCCCCTTTGCTTACCGCGAACCTACGCTTCTACCCGCGCCCAGATCCCCTACTTCTACGCCCGGCCTTGCTCTGCACCCTTGGCCTTGGCGTGCCTGCTCCTGCATTCTACGCCCAATCCCGCGCCCCTGCCCTGCACAAAGCCTGCGCCGCTGCTTACTGCACCGATCCTGCTCCTGCACGCTTCTGCTCCCCCTTGCTTGCTACAAATCAGCCCTACACCCCTACACCCCCTGCTGCTCGCGCCCCCTGCCCTACACCGAGCCTGAGCCTCTGCTTGCTACACCAAATCCTCTTGCTCTACACCAGATCTCCTGCACACATGCACTCCAGCACCTCCTGCTCTATGCCCCTGCTGCTGCACCGAGCCTGCGCCCCAATCCCCGCCTCTGCACTCTTACTCTTATAGCCATACCCTTGCCTCACCTACAGAAAAAACAACAATACCAGACAAATTGGCATCATTAGTGATTGACAGAGCAAGGCCTTTTTTTTTGTTTATTTCATTTTTATTTTATCTTACCATTTGGGTATATATATATAAAGCAAAAGCAGAGTAAGGAGGGGAGTTGATTTTGGAGTTCGATTTTGGGGATTTGGCTGGTTGATTTTCGGGTTCTGTTTTTGGGAGCTAGGGGGATTTTGGCTAGTTGATTTTCGGGTTCTTTTTTGGGAGCTAAGAGGGTCTTTTGATTGATTTTGGAGTTTGGTTTTAGGGGTTTTCCTTTGTTGATTCTTGGGTCCAATTGTGAGAGAGTTTTCCATCTAGGCTTTTGAGAGTAGAAGAAGGAAATTCCGAGGAGAATAGGGGGGTTTTCTTTGGTCTGTTTTTTTTTTTTTTTTTTGGGTGTTGACGACGTTGGCAAAAAAAGGGCAGTTGTTGGAAGCATTGACGGGGTGATTAGCTAGAGATACCTTAGCCGAGGAAAAGTTCATATTTTTCTGGGTTTCCTGCCTTAGGTAAGCGTCTGGAACTGAGAGATTTCAGGAGGGGTGGTGAAGGTAATGGACGGAGCTTGATCCCGTGGGTGGGGTTCCTCCGTTTGGAACCAAATCTACTGCTTTCTTGGAATTTCCACTTTAGATTTTTGTTTGTGTTTATGTGTCGTGCTATTTTAGTGATGAGTACTGAGATTTTTACGTGTAAAATGTTGAGAAATGAATGACAGATTTGTTATTATGTAGTGGATATTTATTGGATTTGAATTTGAATGCATGTTTTGAAAAAAAAAAAAAAAAAAACCTTAAATTAGATGAATCCAGTCTCCTTGCTTTTTTTGCATGTTTGATCTTTCTTGTGTCTATTTTTATGCTCAGATCGTGTTTTTGGGTCGGATCAATTCAACCCAATTCAGTTAAAAAAAAAGTTCAAACAAAAAATATATATAAAAGCATGATTAGTAATTAATAAGGTCAATTAGTTTAATTTATGATTAATGAAATTAATTAATTTTAATTAAAATAAATTAATCATGTTTATTGACTTTGATTTGAGATTATTAAATATATTTAATGATCTTAATTAAAAGTTGATAAATATGATTAATTAATTTTAATTAGTGTCAAATTAATCATTTAATTAATTAATTTCCTCTAATCTTAGTTAAAAGTCAAAATTATCTTTTTTTCAATTCAATTTCACCCAAAACTTTTATAATTAAGCAATTTAGTCCATGGGTCTCAACTCAGTCCTTCACGTTTTGAATCTAATCAAACTAGTCCCTTTAATTTTTATTTGTGTTTATTGTGCATGCACATGTTCTTGATTTTATTCATTTCAATCCAAAAATTAAAAAATGTTTCAATTTGGTTTATTTTAAAAAAAAATAAAAATAAAAATAAAAATAAAATTTTTTTAAAGACGTAAACACATATAATGAATAAGTTGAATCAAAACCCTAATTTTAAAGTATGCAACCGTGTTTAAACTGAGGATTGTGAGGCGCGTGTATGCCTTTTCTCACTCTTAATTGAACCCCCGAATCTCGATCTCTACGCAGACCCGTTTTAGGTGACTTGTCCCACCTTATAATTTGGATGAGTGGTGACTCCCTTTTCTTTTATATTTTACACTTAATTTTTCATTATTTTGAAATCTTAAGTGGTCGTCAACATATTGGCGACTCCACTAAGGATTGAACCCAAAATCTCTGGTTTCCATATTCTAGGTTCATGAGGGTCGAGCTAATACTTTAACTTTGGGGATTTTTCAGCTTTTGATTTTCTTTGTTTGTTGAGTCTTTGTTGCTTGTTGCTTGTTGCTTGTTTGCTCATTGTTTTAGTGGTTGCCTTGATCGTTTTGTCTTTGAGTAGTTACCTTGCTACATCTTGACATGCATCATATCATTTCACCTGCTCATCCATCATTGATATAACATGCTTATTCATCATGCATCATGCTTACTTGCTTGTATGTGGATGTACTAACTTTTTGCATTTTGGCATGGGAGTACGAGGTGAGTTCCTTCCTGCTGTGTAAGTAAGTTTTGTTTGTGGGTGACATATTTGTTTAGTGCTTTACATGGTTTGCTTGTTTGCTTGTTTGCTTTATCTGCTTACTGTGGGATATATGTTGCTATTTTTGTGGTTGCCATTGTGCAGGTTATTCGAGTATCATGTCTCTTGCACACACTCACTGTCATTTTGCATTAGGTCCGTGTCGAAGGTGAACCCGACCTCTAGTTTGGAATCCTTACGAATTTGGCTTGGAAGAGCAATTCTTCTTGCTTTGAGGAGTAAGATTGGTTCCCGTTAGATTGTTTCCATTGGTTAATACGACACTTGATGATGTAATATCATTCTGTGTATTAGCTTTTGGAAATCTCTCCCGTTGATTTCGAAAGGATAAATGGTCTAGAAGGCCTAACGCCATTTAGGTAAACATGTATTGGCCTTAGAGAGATACCAACCCTAGGACATGTTTCCCTTAGCATCCCATCCGTGAGGTTTGGGATCCCATGTCTAAGACACAAAAGGGGTATTTTACTTTACTAACCTTGTCTCCACATATAACGGGTTTTCATTTTTATAAACATTTGAGGTATGATTAGTTATTCATCTTCTGCATTTGG